GGGTATTTGTATATGAGCTTTAAAAACCGAATAAATATTTTATTTTGGGCGATTCATCCCATTTAACACTGCAGCGCGTAGAAAGCTACTTGTGTAGTCGTGTAGAAAACTCATATTGTTTGACTTTTCAAAGCAAAGATCTATAGAGGTATTTGTGAATGGTGATTAATGTTTGCAACATACCAAAACATATATGATATTTGATATGATGACTTAATTTGGTTTCATTCATTGACTGACTTCATGAACCCTAGACTCGCTCTATAACTTAGGCCAAAATTGTACGATGTAAACATATAAATCAAGTTTCAAAATACTCCATTTCTTAACGTCTTCTTTACCATTTCATGAAAATGTCTGAATCAAGGATCTTAGCCTCATCACCAATGTTGCTGATTCTTCTCAACCTTCTAATAGCTTCCTTCTTCGACACTACAGGTTCAATAATATTTTAAGCTTTTGTAACATCCATTAATCATCTCTATGTACCCTACTGATTATAATTATATCAATCTACAAAATTTGATTCAATTTTATTACTAATGAATTAGCTGCACAAATCGGAGTATGCTACGGGATGCTAGGCGATCCTCGGCCAAATCCATCGGACGTTGTAGCTCTTTACAAGCAGCGGAACATTCAGAGGATGAGGCTTTACGATCCTAACCAAGAGACTCTCACCGCTCTCCGCGGCTCCAACATTGAGCTTATCCTTGACGTTCCTAAACCAGACCTCGAACGTATCGCCTCCAGCCAAACGGAGGCTGACACGTGGGTCCGCGACAACGTCAAGAGCTATGATGGCGTCAGATTCCGGTACATCACGGTTGGAAACGAGGTGAAACCCTCAGAGCCAGCTGGAAGGTTTCTGTTCCAGGCGATGCAGAACATCGAGAAAGCGGTTTCTGAAGCAGGCCTAGGGGTCAAGGTCTCGACAGCTATAGACACCGGAGCTACCATGGACACGTATCCACCGTCGAACGGAAGATTCAACGATGAGTATAGGAGCTTTCTCGAACCGGTTATAGGTTTCTTGGTAAGCAAGCAATCTCCTTTGCTTGTAAATATCTACCCTTACTTCAGCTACACGGGAGACATGACCAACATCCCTCTAGACTACGCTCTGTTCACCTCCAAATCCCCTGTCACGGACAACCAGTACTCATACAATAACCTCTTCGACGCAAATCTAGACTCGGTTTACGCGGCATTGGAGAAATCGGGTGGCGAATCGTTGGAAATCGTGGTGTCCGAGAGCGGTTGGCCCACGGAGGGAGGACCCGGGACGAGCGTGGAGAATGCGAGGACTTATGTTAACAATTTGATACAACATGTGAAGAATGGATCTCCGAGAAGGCCAGGGAAAGCTATAGAGACTTATATATTCGCTATGTTCGATGAGAATCAGAAGAGTCCTGAGTTTGAAAAGTTTTGGGGGATGTTTCTTCCTAATCAACAGCCTAAGTATGATGTTAATTTCGACTAATATCCTTCAAGAGATTTCTTGAGAATTTGTTGTAATAATAACGAATAATGAGCCACAACTATGTTGTACTCCTTCGGTTTCGATAATATAATGAGAATAGTTTAAAAATATACAATAGGAAATTGTTCGTTCATAATAGATATAAGTTTTAATCTTTGTAGATGAGACATTTAGACGTAATACAAGTCAAAGCAAAGCCATCATCAACACGGCGTCTATTTTTGTCGTCCAGAACTGAAATCGACCATGTGAAGAATTTTTTTTGGCTATTACTACAAGTCTACACAAGTAACACAACGCATCTACTGTTCTACACTAGACAGAAGAGACATCCCTTCAAGATTGTGATCTATAGTACCAAACTCAATCTTAGCTTGTGGTCTGAGTTTTATACTAATTTTTTAAATTTTGTTTTTCATAATTTTTATTCTGATTTTTCTAGGCTGCTATATATGAGGTAACTACGACTTGATATTGGGAACATGCATAATGTATATCACACATGCATAATAAAGAATAATGTATGTATAGGAATATTCGCTTAACCTCTTGGGTCCAGTTTATTTTCTACATTTTTATTTATTAGTATCAAATGTCTGATTCACCATATAACATTTCATTACTCTTAGAAGTAAGCAAACACTTCGAGAAAAAAGTATGATGCAAAACTATTTTCAAGTAATAAATCAAATTGTAAGAAATATATA